CGGAACGGAACCAACACCCTCATTACACCAACTGTCTGTAATGGTGTCGAAGTTTCTGAGAGCCCAGACACAGATGCAACAGCAAATGATCCGTGATCGGATTCAGTTGCAGACACAAATTCCTGACGTTCGTGATATGAACCAAACCATTCCAACGACCTGGAATCATACCTGGATACCAACCTCGGTGGATCCTCCGCATGGTTCTTTGGGTGGTCCTTCAACCTTACAAACTCAAACGATCAATACCTACCGTGGTCTTAGAACGTCACATATNGTGGTCTTAGAACGTCACATATCCAAGAACCAATTAATCAACCATCTCATTTATATCCGAATTATTCGCTATCCGGTCCAACAATCACGACCAAATCAAGCCACTATATTCGACGAGTCTGCACAAGCGGATGCAATGGATAGGAAATTCAGAGGCTTACCATCATGGATGGGACGTGCTCAATTCGATGGCGTTCATGTGAACGAAAAATTTCTATCGGTTGAAGATTATTTGGCTCTTATTGGCTCATTTCGATATAAGATTGGAGTACCCGACCATGAATTGGTTACGCGTTTGGTGCCCACACTCACGGGGGCCGCTCGACAATGGTACTTCACCGAACTGAGAAACTTCAGAGATTATCAAGATTTTTGCACGAAACTTCGTGCTCGTTTCCTCAACAAACATACTCGGGCCCAAGTAATAATGTAATATGCACAGATTAAATTCGACCCATGTTCGCGAACACTGCTGAAACATATCGATGACTTGACATTTCAATTGCAGGGTAATTCCTGTGGTCTGGATGAACGAGACCACCTCGATATCATCATTGGTACCTTATCCGATCATCTGCGTGAACTCGTCCACACTCGACAAGTCCACACGTTGGAGCAATTTCGTGAGTTCGCTCAGCGAATCGCACCACATTCGTTCATTGTTGCCACACCCCGTCCGGAAAGAACCCGTTCGGATAGACAGCGATCAGTACCACGGGAAATTTCGGCAATACATGGTTCTCCGGAGGAGTCTTCACATTCGGAATATACCGCGTCGTTTCCTGGATCCGACTCCGATGACAGGGAATGTGCATACGTGAACAAGCAAAATAAACCAATTAAAGCATCTCAGAAACGTAGGTATTCGAAACCAGTCGAGGATTATAAAAATGACAAAAATCCAAAGGAGAATGATACGAAGGTAGGAGCTATCGTCGACCCATTTTTCGTTGTTGAGGGCGACGAAAATGTACGATGTGCCAAATGTCTCGTGTGGGGCCATCACTGCAAAAAGTGTCAAATCCAACCGAATCGGGTGATCTGCTACAAATGTACACGACCAGGGGTTACGTCCGATCAATGCTCAATTAAAAAAAACTCATAAGGGAGTCGATTGAGAATAGTGGTCCATCGTACTCAGAGTCCACAACTTTATCTAAATCCACTGTCTCTAACAATCCGCACTCTACCGAAGTCCCTCTACAAATCGACAAATCTTCAGTCCCGAATTCCAATAATAATTCTACTCTGATTCTTAATGAATCTAATCAAATTCAAAGGGATGGCAAAGAACCATCAACTAAATGTTCTGAACGAACACTACCAATTACCAAACCTACTACAGCTCCAGTCCCTACTAACCAGCAAGGAGCTGTCAATCAAGTTAACCAACCACGACTCCGCGATGTTTTCTTTATCTCAGAGAAATGTTTGACATATAACATTCCGAACGATTGTCGCGATTATCTCACGGTTATGGTTAACAACCCTTCTCATACGGTTTTACTCGATGGTGGAGCCGAAGTCACAGTCGTTTCACATACATTTTATGAGAAGTACAGATGGGGGCAGTTACAACCTACCTAAACCTCTATTGGTCTTGCCGATAATTCGATTTCATTTAAGGCCATTGGTAAAGTGGATGTATTATATACGGTCGGTAGTCTTACCCGACTGGTGCCAACTCTTGTCGTACCTATCTCACTGAAACACCCAATTATGGGACGCACATTCCTTGAGGCCTTCTTTTTCGAACTGAATCTCACCCCAGACCAAAGACACATGTTGGACGCCGTTCTCAGACTTTTTAATCCAACTCCTGAGTCTGGTCCTATAAACGTCACTAATCAGATCGAACACGTAATTGATACGGGTGATGCAAAACCCGTCATGAAACGCCAGTATACAGTATCGCCATATGTGGCTGAACAAGTTCAAGCCGAATTGGATAAAATGCGTAGTCGTGACATCATTATGACCATCGAAGAAAGCCCTTGGCGGTCACCAATTCTGGCTGTAAAGAAGAAAGACGGAACGTGTCGCGTGTGCTTGGACGCGAGAGAATTTCAGCACGACTAAAGTTCGCTAAATACCTAACCAGTATTGATCTGTCTCAAGCTTTCTTTCAAATTCCTTTGGCAAAATCGAGTCAACTGAAAACCGCTTTTGCATGACGTCGCATGACGATGGGGTTAAGAAATTCACCCGCCACATTAGCCATTCTCATTGATAAAATTTTCCGTGATTTGGTTCCACATGCATTCGCATATGTCGATGATTTCATAATTTGCACTTCGACGTTTGAAGAACACGTTAAGATATTGGCTATTGTTGCAAAGCGTCCGGCAGGGGCCGGCTTAACCATCTCAACATCCAAATCGAATTTTTGTTCTAAACGATTGGAATTCCTGGGCTACATTTTGTCTCAAGAGGGTTTATCTGCGAATCCATCTCGTATTCGAGCGATTGTTGAATTTGCACGGCCCAAAACGGCAAAAGAAGTAAGACGGTTCGTTGGTGCAGCAGGCTGGTACCGTAAATTTATTCAAAATTTTTCGGAGACCACAGCTCCCCTTTGTGAATTGTATAAAGGAAACCGAAAAGGACCCATTGAATGGAATACCGCGCTGAACAAGCCTTTCTCAAAGTCACAGAGTGTTTAACTACCACTCCCGTTCTGACCTTGGCCGATTATTTAAAACCATTCAAGGTTTATACCGATGCCTCGCTTATCGTAGCAGGAGCTGTTCTAGTACAAGAACATTATGGTTATGAACGTGTGGTTCAGTATTTTTCTAAGAAATTCTCGAAAGCCGAACAAAATTACACAGCATCTGAACGGGAATGCCTAGCCGTTCTCTTAGCGGTCGAAAAGTTCCGTCCATATTTTGAGGGTCGTGAATTGGTTGTGGTAACGGACCATGCAGCTTTGCGCTGGCTACAAACTCTCAAAGACCCAACTGGCCGTTTATGTCGTTGGGCGATCCTATTATCACCATACGATTTCAAAATTATTCATAAACCAGGAAAACATTTGCAACTTCCTGACGCCTTATCTCGTTCTTTTGGTCTTCTCAACATCGTTCGTAGAAATCCAATTGACCATCCGAGTAATTTTCACGTTAATCGTATCCCAATCACATCCGTGATCAGCATTGACCCAAACACGTGCGATAAATGGTACAACGAAATGCATGCCATGGCCTCAAAACAACCATT